ATGAATTTTATAATACAGAATAACCCTGATTCTCCTTGTAAACGATTTAGAAATAGAATAGATTAACATGATCACAAGAGACAGTATCAAAGGCGTGGCTGTTTTACTGGTCAGGTGCAAGCTGTTCTTCATCAGAATAAATTCTATATGATTACACTCAACATAAAGACACATTAATTCTAGGCTTCATTTTAGAAAGTCTATAACCTTCTTAATTTAGACCTTTTATCAAAATAATTCTTGTTGTGTCAGGAGCATGTTTATGATTACAGAAAGATATATGATAATAGTCATTTTAAATCCTTGTCATAGAAATTTGAGTTAATCAGTCCAGCAATAGTGGTAAGGAAGTACAAAGTTTGCTGACATCATTGTTAGCCTAGCAGTGTCTATTTCATCAGTTGACCTCATCATCAACTGACCATTATCTACAGCTACAGATGTACTTTATAAATGTATTACAGTCTAAACTGACCATTCAGTATCCTCTCTGTATGATGACCTCAATAGTTGACCTCAGTCTTAGCTGACCAGTGCGTTCTCTACAAGTTGACTTCAGTCTTAACTGACCAGTTTCCTGTCTGTAAGTTGACCTCAGTCTTAGCTGACCATTGTCCTGTCTGTAAGTTTACCTCAGTCTTAGCTGACCATTGTCCTGTCTGTAAGTTTACCTCAGTCTTAGCTGACTATTGTCCTATCTGTAAGTTGACTTCAGTCTTAGCTGACTATTGTCCTATCTGTAAGTTGACTTCAGTCTTAGCTGACCAGTGTCCTGTCTGTAAGTTGACCTCAGTCTTAGCTGACCAGTGTCCTGTCTGTAAGTTGACCTCATTCTTAGCTGACCAGAGTCATTGCTATATGTTGACCTCAGTCTTCACCTAGGTTTAAACTGATCACTGTCCACTCAGTTGATAATGCTGATCAATCATGTCAGATAGCTTGTAATGAGCAGCCCAGGTCAACAGTGTTTTGCTCTTCTTAGTTCATGTTGTCAGTTTATTTTGATATCTGAGTAGAGATTCAAAGTGAGGTATTCATTACGTGTTATCTAGAATTTCTCCCGAACACAACAGGACATGTCTGTAAATTCATTAAAAGTTTTAAGATTGAGTTTTCCCTTGAACTTGACTGTTTGATGTTCCGGTGTATACATATTTCATGCTCAAATGACTTCATCTCCCATCTTAATTCAGACATTCTATCAACCTTTTTCTCATCACTTGGACCAACCCTGATGCCTGCAGTGTGACAGGCAGGGGTTTGTACTGAGTGACTCCTCTGAGCAGACGACAGGATGGCTTGTGTTTTGGGGATGGTTTACCTACATCAACATGGAAATCAATAGGCATGTCCTGTGGGACTGTTACACCTCATTGTGTGGGATTTTCCAGCATCGTGTCCTGTGAAAACCAACCTGTGTTATGGATTGTTCGATTTCAATAATGATGTTTGATGCCTTACAAATACACACTACACTACTTTTTTTTCCCGTTTTTTTTTTAATGTGTAAGTTTTCTCATCCCCACACACCTTACCTCACAGACCTTGCCCATATTTACCCCCTCCACTTTCCCAACCTATTTATCCTACTCCATTTTCCATACTAGTTCAACCCATCCAGACTACCTAACCCACTCGCCCCAAACCTGATTCACCATACTCCACTCACCTAACCCAACCCCTTTCACCCCACCCTACCCCACTCAACCTACCCCATTCACCCCAAACCTGATTCACCCCACCCCACTCACCCAACCCAACCTCACCCCACCCACCCCACTCACCCCATCCCCTCAACCTACCCCATTCACGTAAACCATATTCACCCTACCCCATTCACTACACCCCATTGTAAACACCACACCCAACATTAAGCCTAGGTATAGGTATGGTAATGACATCACCATTCCCTTATTTTACTTGACATCGGGTGATGACTACAAATTATCTGTAACACAATGTCTATTTAACTGTCGTTCTGCATTACGTAATCGTGTTTTAAAAATGTACATATTGTCAAGTGGTTTTAATGGTGTTGGAGTAAAAAATTGATTAGTTTCAGAACATGATATCCCAGAAATGCGACTGCTGTTGTAAAATTCAATACAGAAACCTGAAAATGATGTTAATAATTTGACTTTTTAATATCTAGTATGTCAATAATTTGCAGGAATGACAGAGTTTGTAGTGAGGGGTATGTAAGATATCAATAATTCAACAGTTGCTGGTATGACAGAGTTGTAGTCAGGATTATGTAGTTTGTCAGTAGTTTGACTTGATGGTATGACAGAGTTGTAGTCAGGATTATGTAGTTTGTCAGTAGTTTGACTTGATGGTATGACAGAGTTGTAGTCAGGGTGATGTAGTTTGTCAGTAGTTTGACTTGATGGTATGACAGAGTTGTAGTGAGGGGTATGTAGGATATTGATAATTTGACTTGATGGTATTGTAGTCAGGGGTATGTAGGATATTGATAATTTGACTTGATGGTATGACAGAGTTGTAGTCAGGATTATGTAGTTTGTCAGTAGTTTGACTTGATGGTATGACAGAGTTGTAGTCAGGGTTATGTAGTTTGTCAGTAGTTTGACTTGATGGTATGACAGAGTTGTAGTCAGGGTTATGTAGTTTGTCAGTAGTTTGACTTGATGGTATGACAGAGTTGTAGTCAGGGGTATGTAGTTTGATATTTGATAATTTGACTTGATGGTATGACAGAGTTGTAGTCAGGATTATGTAGTTTGTCAGTAGTTTGACTTGATGGTATGACAGAGTTGTAGTCAGGATTATGTAGTTTGTCAGTAGTTTGACTTGATGGTATGACAGAGTTGTAGTCAGGATTATGTAGTTTGTCAGTAGTTTGACTTGATGGTGACTTGATGGTATGACAGAGTTGTAGTCAGGATTATGTAGTTTGTCAGTAGTTTGACTTGATGGTATGACAGAGTTGTAGTGAGGGGTATGTAGGATATTGATAATTTGACTTGATGGTATGACAGAGTTGTAGTCAGGGTGATGTAGTTTGTCAGTAGTTTGACTTGATGGTATGACAGAGTTGTAGTCAGGGGTATGTAGGATATTGATAATTTGACTTGATGGTATGACAGAGTTGTAGTGAGGGGTATGTAGGATATTGATAATTTGACTTGATGGTATGACAGAGTTGTAGTCAGGGTGATGTAGTTTGTCAGTAGTTTGACTTGATGGTATGACAGAGTTGTAGTCTGGGTTATGTAGTTTGTCAGTAGTTTGACTTGATGGTATGACAGAGTTGTAGTGAGGGGTATGTAGGATATTGATAATTTGACTTGATGGTATGACAAAGTTGTAGTCAGGGTGATGTAGTTTGTCAGTAGTTTGACTTGATGGTATGACAGAGTTGTAGTGAGGGGTATGTAGGATATTGATAATTTGACTTGATGGTATGACAGAGTTGTAGTGAGGGGTATGTAGGATATTGATAATTTGACTTGATGGTATGACAAAGTTGTAGTCAGGGTGATGTAGTTTGTCAGTAGTTTGACTTGATGGTATGACAGAGTTGTAGTGAGGGGTATGTAGGATATTGATAATTTGACTTGATGGTATGACAGAGTTGTAGTGAGGGGTATGTAGGATATTGATAATTTGACTTGATGGTATGACAAAGTTGTAGTCAGGATTATGTAGTTTGTCAGTAGTTTGACTTGATGGTATGACAGAGTTGTAGTGAGGGGTATGTAGGATATTGATAATTTGACTTGATGGTATGACAGAGTTGTAGTTTGTCAGTAGTTTGACTTGATGTAGTTTGTCAGTAGTTTGACTTGATGGTATGACAGAGTTGTAGTCAGGATTATGTAGTTTGTCAGTAGTTTGACTTGATGGTATGACAGAGTTGTAGTGAGGGGTATGTAGGAGGGGTATGTAGGATATTGATAATTTGACTTGATGGTATGACAAAGTTGTAGTCAGGGTGATGTAGTTTGTCAGTAGTTTGACTTGATGGTATGACAGAGTTGTAGTGAGGGGTATGTAGGATATTGATAATTTGACTTGATGGTATGACAGAGTTGTAGTGAGGGTATATAGGCAGTGTATCTAGAGTGCAGCATGACACACAACTGATACATCATCCTTTTATCTACCAAATATTTCCTATTGTTATATGGAAGATCAATACCAATTCTGTTGTATTGGTTTTATGAATATATTTGAAGGAAGTGATAAAAATGTTGTAGAATGTGTTTTAAATAGAAATGCTGAGATATATAGTAGAGGTTTAGATAAAAATGATTAATGAGTAATTTTTGTGTGGCACACAAGGCCCTGTATGTTGTAGAGATTTTTTACGTCAATCCCATATTGTATACTTTTGACATTGTAAACAAGCCTGTTTAATTAACAAGTGTATGTAGTGGGCCCACCTCATCTTTTTTTCTCATTTGCCTTTTTTCTTCAGAACATCATCATCATCATCAAGGCTTGGCATGAACATGAAACAAACTTGACGATTTTGCAACATGTCTGCAACGTTCTCTGATTCGGAGGATTTTAAACCTGACTGAGTCCACTAATACACAAGTGTCTGCGTTTGTGAGAAGACTGAGTCCAAAGTCCAAAGAAATCGGTACTGATTCCACTCCTTCTCTCTTGGCTCATTTGGGACAAATTTCTTTGACACCTGCACCTCTCGCTTCTCAGAGATTTGAGGGTTGACCAACATACATGTTGATGGGAACTACAGCTAGTGTTCCAGTTATCACACCATCTACATTGATTTTGTGTCAGAAGACATTTTGGCTTGATCTTGTGGATGTGATTGAGTTATTTTTCCCTGGATGTTAAAGTCAAGTCAGTTAAGATACTGACATTGACACTGATATCTGATGATTCATTTCTAAAAGTGTTAATAGAAAAGTGGGCAGGTGAGGTGTTAATGAACAGTTGTGTTTCACAGCCTATCCTTGTTACATGGCCGTAAGAACAAGTGGTTGGAGGTGGATATGAAAGTTATGATGATGGAGGAAGCTTGTGACGACACTAGTGATCCTGCTGACATGGAGGTATATCAACCCTCCTCAAGCTATCAGAAGGTAAGAATCCAACTTAGCAGGTAGATCAGATGCATTTCTACAACTGTATGTCTACAGGTAAGGTACATTCTATAAGTAAGGTACATTTGTACAGGTGAAGTACATTTCTTTAGGTAAGTACCTTTGTACAGGTAAAGTACATTTTTACATGTAAGGTACATTTGTACAGGTGAAGTACATTTTTATATGTAAGGTACATTTGTACAGGTAAAGTACATTTTTATGTGTAAGGTACATTTGTACAGGCGAAGTACATTTCTATATGTAAGGTACATTTGTACAGGTAAAGTACCTTTGTACAGGTGAGTATATTTGTACAGGTGAGTATATTTCTATCGGTAAGTACCTTTGTACAGGTGATGTACATTTCTATAGATAGGGTACATTTGTTCAGGCAAGGTACATTTCTGTAATTAAGTGTCAGTGTAATATCTGACACATACATACATCAGGTAGTCTGAGAATAGATGAATTGTTGCTTTTGCCATGTATAGATAGTCCTGATTTAATAGACGCCAAAGGGATACTTTGGTCAGATTTGGCAGTTCCCATTACATTATTTTAACCTATGATTAAGGCTGGAACTTAATGTGTCTATAAAACCTGTTTTTTTACCAATATATACTTACTGGCACTGGGGTTAACAGGAATAATTGGTTAGACAGTATGTCAGTAAAACCTGTCTTTACTGACACTGGGGTAAACAGGAATAATTGGTTAGACAGTATGTCAGTAAAACCTGTCTTTACTGACACTGGGGTAAACAGGAATAATTGGTTAGACAGTATGTCAGTAAAACCTGTCTTTACTGACACTGGGGTAAACAGGAATAATTGGTTAGACAGTATGTCAGTAAAACCTGTCTTTACTGACACCAGGGTAAACAAGAATAATGACACTGAGAGAGACAGAAATAATTGGTGAGACAGTATGTCAGTTAAACCTACCTTTAATGACACTGAGACAGACAGAAATAATTGGTGAGACAGTATGTCAGTTAAACCTACCTTTAATGATACTGAGAGAGACAGAAATAATTGGTGAGACAGTATGTCAGTTAAACCTACCTTTAATGATACTGAGAGAGACAAATAATTGGTGACAGGTCAATAATAGGAGAGAGACAAATAATTGGTGACAGTATGTCAGTTAAAACCTTTAATGATCTTAATACTGAGTTAAACCTACCTTTAATGATACTGAGAGAGACAGAAATAATTGGTGAGACAGTATGTCAGTTAAACCTACCTTTAATGACACTGAGAGAGACAGAAATAATTGGTGAGACAGTATGTCAGTTAAACCTACCTTTAATGACACTGAGAGACAGAAATAATTGGTGAGACAGTATGTCAGTAAAACCTGTATTCCATGATATTAAGGGGAGATGGGATATCTTGCCAAATTGTTAGAAATTATATTCTTCACAACGTATTATTCAACAAAATCTAACTTCAAAAATAAGATGTTGAGGTAGTCACCTCTGACTGAAGTCTGCAACTTTCAATATTCCGTGAAGAGGTGACATTGATATATCTGAAACAAGAAATATTCGTAGATGTATTTTAAACCTTAACAATACCAACTAAAATGGATGTCAAGTACATTAATTGTTTATTTTTGGTCTTTCATTGATAATATGTAGAATTATTTAGTAACAGGCAGTACAAGTAAATGTTTTGACATCACTTCATACTGTCATTGATGGCTTTCAAGTTTACTGTTGATAAAAGAGACAACACACCAAGTCAGTAATTTCAAATGCAAAATTTGTCAAAGTCAATAAAAAGTTACATGTAGGCTGTAAGATACATATCTATGAAGGTAAGTATGTATAGTTGATTGTGGTTCAGATATGCAGTTCACAGCAAATTGTTATGACCTACATTCAGATTCTTTTCTACCTTGTTACCTATATTGGACTCAAATACTAGTTTTCTATTTAAGACACAAAACATTCTGCTGCTGGTTCCTTCTGTATGCTAGTTACCTATATTAGACACAAATACTAGTTACCTATTTAAGACACAAAACATTCTACTGTTGGTTCCTTCTGTATGCTAGTTACCTATATTAGACACAAATACTAGTTACCTATATAAGACACAAAACATTCTACTGTTGGTTCCTTCTGTATGCTAGTTACCTATATTAGACACAAATACTAGTTACCTATTTAAGACACAAAACATTCTACTGTTGGTTCCTTCTGTATGCTAGTTACCTATATTAGACACAAATACTAGTTACCTATTTAAGACACAAAACATTCTACTATTAGTTCCTTCTGTATGCTAGTTACCTATATTAGACACAAATACTAGTTACCTATTTAAGACACAAAACATTCTACTGTTGGTTCCTTCTGTATGCTAGTTACCTATATTAGACACAAATACTAGTTACCTATTTAAGACACAAAACATTCTACTGTTGGTTCCTTCTGTATGCTAGTTACCTATATTAAACACAAATACTAGTTACCTATATAAGACACAAAACATTCTACTGTTGGTTCCTTCTGTATGCTAGTTACCTATATTAGACACAAATACTAGTTACCTATATAAGACACAAAACATTCTACTGTTGGTTCCTTCTGTATGCTAGTTACCTATATTAGACACAAATACTAGTTACCTATTTAAGACACAAAACATTCTACTGTTGGTTCCTTCTGTATGCTAGTTACCTATATTAGACACAAATACTAGTTACCTATATAAGACACAAAACATTCTACTGTTGGTTCCTTCTGTATGCTAGTTACCTATATTAGACACAAATACTAGTTACCTATATAAGACACAAAACATTCTACTGTTGGTTCCTTCTGTATGCTAGTTACCTATATTAGACACAAATACTAGTTACCTATATAAGACACAAAACATTCTACTGTTGGTTCCTTCTGTATGCTAGTTACCTATATTAGACACAAATACTAGTTACCTATATAAGACACAAATCATTCTACTGCTAGTTCATTCTGTATGCTAACTACAAAAAATACATTAGACATAAAACATTATGCCATCAGACATCAACACTCCCTAATTACTGGACATTCCTACTTTTTTTTTTATTATTTTTTATATTTCAAGATTTTACACGTTGAACAGGACAAATACACTCACACCCTCTCACACATCCAACCACAGGTGCACATATAGTCATTGCGTGTCAAACAAGTACACTCCATTCAAAAGAATCATCAACATCATCATCAACATTCAAAAATGCATGTGATCATTACTACTATTATTATTATTATTATTATTATCACCATACATGATAATCCTCATATATCACAATCAATATTATTATGTTACACACTAAATAATGCATCATCATCATCATCATCATCATCATCATCATCATCATCATCATCATCATCATCATCATCATCATCATCATCATCATCATCATCATCATCATCATCATCATCCTCAAAAACATGATAATCTTCCTCATCATTCATTTCAACATATATATCACAATCAATATTACTATCATGATTATTGTACATACTAAATAATGCATCATCATCATCCACATTCAACAATTCATCATCATCATCAAATCAAGATTCATACTTTCATAACCATTATGAAACCTTATGATTCATAAATATCACAGTAAACTTTTGTTTCAAATGCACCCATGCACACATGCATAAACACACACACAACCATAAATTGACTTCAACATACAGAAATGAAGAAATGAAATAGAACTTTATTAGGGATAAGAAATTTAAAGAGAAAGAAATTGAAGAAAATGAAGAAATAGTAAAGTGGATTGTTGGGTGAGATGGTAAAATAGGTTAGAGTAAGCTTTTAATGCTTTTCTTTCTTTATATCTGATTACTCGGTATGGTCAAGGACTGTTATGTATATAATTATAAAAAATTATAGAAAAAAAAGAAAAAAAGAAAAACTAGTAATGTGATGGATAATAGATCAAAGTGTGTAGATCAAAACTGTATTAATTTTTCCCATTTTTTCCATTCATTCTCAAATTTACGTTTTACTTTATCATCCTTACCATTAGCTATATATTTTTGTATCATATAATTATCTTTGATTGTCTTAATTAGTGCATGCAAGTTTAGTGAACGGTGTAAGCATCTGGACATTTCTACTTATGATATGTATTTACCTGACCTACATTTTGACTTTTGACCTACATCCAAGAAAAAAATTGTTGTGGCTCTCTATTTTCTTCTCTACTTGTCACTGGATCTACACACTTGGTGTAAGGGTCCACCATGGTGAGACAGTGTGTTTTGTATGAAAATGAGGTTGTTCTACCTACATTTTGACCTTTGACCTACATCAAAGAAAGCATTTGTCTTGGCTCCTATCTCCTACATTACTTAACTGCCAATGTAACTTATTACTTAAGGCATGGGTTCACTTGCAGTGCATTCTTTGCATAAAATTTCACATGTTTTATCTTGTCTTAATGTTTTTATCATGATATTTAATAGAAAGGTAAGTAGCTAATATATAATCTATATTTTGTATATTGAATAGTGTTAGAGTTTAGTGTGACTCCTGATAATCATATTTGATATTGTGGTATTAATTGTTATTTTTCAACCCTTGTCATTACAAGCATTACTTTCGACGGTTGGAGTTTGTACTGGTAAGATTATATTTGTCTAATCTCTCATTATTTTCATCTTCTTCTCTTCTTCATTCAGATATGTTCAAAACAGCTCTATCAAACAGAAACAAAAACATGTTCGTTTCCTGTTAAACTTGAGAAAGAATTTGGTTAGGTAGATTGGTAAAGAAAAGGATGTTTTTATGTAGAAGGTAGGAAGGGTGATCATGACTTTAATAGTGCTTCCATGATAAATGAAAAAGTATTAAGGAAGGTACAGCAAATGATATTCAGAAGGAAAACAGGAAACCAACATCTTTTTTTAAATATCCAAATTGCAATTTATTCATTAAGTGCAAGTGAAATTGCATGTTCTTTACACCTTGAAA